GCGGGCCTGCACACCCCGACCGGCCGGCAGGGCAGATCGTCCGCGCCGACCGCCGCCCGTCCTCCGGGCCGCCACAGGCCATCAGGACCCATTAGGGTGCCGCACACCTTGTAATATGTTTACTCACGATCGCTACAAATTCATTGATGACTGCGGGGTTGAATGAAGCGACCGGCACGACAGCAAGCCGTCCTCCTTCTCCTCCGCAGTTCCAGGAAGGGCGCACGCGCGCTGCGTCGTGCTGCAAGGGAGCGAACAGGGGCATCAATGAATTAACACACTTCTCGGGAAATGGAAGGAGTAAATAGAAGACCCGGTAGCAATAGGGGATGGAGAGGTGGCACGTCAGCGCCCTCGCTTCTCGTTACCGCCCCGAATTAAAAAATGCCTCAGTCTTCTCGCAGAGCAACTGCTTTCCAAATATTTTAGCCGGAAGCGACGTATTTGTTTCAATTAACATTTTTTAGAGACAATGGTTGCACTTGTTTAGGGAAGAATTTTGTTGTAAATTTGAAACACGTCTTAGCTATAAACACTATTAAATCCATACAGCTGACCAAGGGAAATTTCGTGTTAAAAAAATTAATCGACTTGACAGAGCACTGGCTGCTGCTGCATTCGTACAACGGCCCGACGCGTTGTCTTTAAAAAAGATCGCCGGCTCCGACCGTGGATACAGCGCAAGCTCAAGCAAGCCCCGGCAGGTAACGTGGGTCACCTAAGTGATCGAGGCATGAGCCACCTCGCCCCACCTGCCTCCAACACTGCTGCTTGGAGACACATGTCAGATTGCTGTTATTTTCCTCTGCAACCCCTTGGATTAAATGCGCGGCATTAGCCACCATTGACAACGGCAGCGGAGGGCCGCCTGGTGAATGAAGTGGGCCCCATCCCACCCCGGGTACCCGCACATTATCCCCTAACGCAATTCGCCAGAAATCCAGCAGCAGCCGTATAAAATAAGGGGAATGATATTAAACTACTGCAGCCAATGCATTGCGCGACGATTGTTAGGGTCCAATTTAATTTAAAGACGCATCGTCTTTTTGTGAGGCCACTGCCAAAACTTTGTCATTAAATGGCATATCACCCCAACTCGACTTCTCGAAAAAACCTTTTGACATTGTTTCGCTGTCCAACTTCAAAAACGTAAGGCCTATGCCCAAAAAATACCCCCAAAAAGAGATAAAATACAATTCGACCAAAGTACAATATCCAAATTTTTAAAAGTCTGGACTACAAAAATTAAATGAATTTCTCACTTTTCACACAGTGAACATCTACTTTCCTTAGCTCCCGCAATTGTCTTTTCGCAGTGTTATCGGGGCACAACTTAAGATGCAAAGCCCCTGGCCCTTTTTTTTCATCTCCCTCCTCCGACTTTGCGGCATGATTCGGACGCCAACCTGCCCAGCCCAGACCAACCACCCTCGCGCCGCGCCGCCGGGACATTACCAATGCGCAGAGCGAAAGTCGATCAAGTAACTGCATTGCGATATTCATAGGCGTGATCCCATCACCACAGAGGCGACTCCCCATCATGCGCTCATTACTAGCCGTGCTCGCACTTTCAACAGTCTTCAAAATAGGGAAAAAAAAGTTGGGAGCGTGACATCTACACGTATGATGTGGCATACACTCGTAAAGGCACGGGTGTCTCTACGAAATGCACTCTGGAAATCCAAGTGTACGAATGTCGCTCACTTGCAGGTGAGCGAATAGATTCGCTCACTTGCAGGTGAGCGAATAACCATTCGCACACTTGCAGGTGAGCGAATAACTATTCGCTCACTTGCAAGTGAGCGAACAACTATTCGCACACTTGGAGGTGAGAAAATAAGAATTCGCATACTTTAAATGAGATTTGGATGTAAATAAGCATCTTTTCACGGTTAAAGTAGAACAGGTTACTATTATCTCTGTTTGAGCTCCAGAACATATCTCATACATTGAATTATATTACAACTCTATTACCCACTGCTTATAATAACTCAGGTGGCTACGCTGCCTTCTAGACTCACAACTTTACCAACGCCTGAATAAGACTGTTCAGCGTGTAAATTGCCAGGCACCATTTGAGTAATGTTTGAAGTGTTCCTTAGTGTTGACATATCCAGGCCCCAGCTGCCTTAGATGACAGGTAACTACTTACTTGAGCAACAATACAAGTTGTAGGGAATAGCCATCCATGGCTTTGCCTTCATAACCCCAATCACAGCTTATATGTGGAGGAGTAGTTTAAACCACTAGCTACCTTAAAACGTATCAGTTTTCCACAGAGAATGAAGCACAAATTTTAGGTGGTCATAATTCGGTAACTGCACCCACTGACATCACAGTGTTCAGCACAGAAACTAAAGTTAAAGGTTGATTAGAAACGTAAACCACTAGCCAGCACCGACGCCATGTCTGTTGGTCGAAGTCGGACTGCTTTTGTTTTGTCTGAGTCTGAGCGGACGGGTTGAAGGTGAGGGAGGGGGGGGGGCAACGCA